CTTTGCTCCGGCATGCACTGGCAAGTACAAGGGAAGCACAGGGTAGGTTCCCCCTTTGGCCTGGCCTTGCCCTCTCCGTCTTTCCTTTTAGGGTAAGTGGCTTAGGAAATCCAATGTGTCTATGATTACCTGGATACGCAGCTCCCTAGAAGTTAACTGGAAAGGTGATATCCTAGGTCCAGGTGCTACCAGAGCCTCTCTGTTCCCCATGGGGCTGGCCCACAGCCCAGTGGAGACCTTCGATAGATTCTGGAGCTCCAGCCTGCAGCTAGCTTGCTCCCTCCACCCCGGACCCCCATCTCCCTCCTGGCAAATTAGACCCCTACCTGTCATAGGAGCTTAAGCCAGGGATCTGTACGAGGTCTGTTTGGGCAGATTGCCTGTGTGAGGCCAGGCAGAAAGAATCTTGTAAAGGTGAGGAGTTGGGGGCTGAGAGCAGATACTCCCAACATCCATCCCTGCTCAACCCCTTACTCACTGCATGTCTACTTCCTCCTCTGTAGGTGGGAGGGAAGACAGGGTCCCTCATGGGCTGACATAAAGATTTCAGGATGTGGTATCTTCTCCTGTCTCTAAGGACTTTGGAGTTTTGGTTTGTTTTTTGAAGTCTTTTTCTGTCTGCTTATTGTCTCTGTTTTCTGAGTTTGCTTTTTTCCTGTTTGTTGTTTTGGATTTTGTCTTTTGCATTAGAGGCTCTTGATGCACATTTAACAGTCAGACACCGGGAGCTGAACCGGCTCGGGCTGCAGGAGTTTGCAGCCCTCCCAAAGTCACCACACATCCTGGTCTTGTCTCTTTGGCTGGAGGGGCTGTGACCTAGCTGAGGGGCATGGCCTGACTGGAGGGGTGTGGCCTAGCTGGCAGCGGGGTGTGAGTGAGAAAGCAAAAGAAACCAGGGCCTACTGAAGACAAGGACTCCCCCTCACCCTACAGCAGTTTCCAGCAGAGTGGGGTGACCAAAGTCTCACCAGTAGAGGAGGGTCCTACATGGCCCTGTGGGAAAGGAGGGAGGCACCAAAAGAATGTGTGACCCAAGACTGGACTCTTGGGTAGAACAGGGCTGACCTCAAGGGTAGTAAGATAGAAGGGTACCAGTCATATCTGTGCTAGGCCCAGCCCAGCTCTTGTTAAGGGAAACTGAGGCCACTTAGGACCTCCTCATTCCTGTGGTCCCTTGTGAACACACCTGGCCAGCCCTGCCCCCATCCCCATAGCATCTGACCCCACGGACCTCCCTGGAGCTTTCTTCTAACAGGGGGATTTTAGGGCTCTCTTCCAACTGGACTCTGCTGGGGTTGGCCTTCTGGTAACATCCACCTTGCACGTGTCCCCTCTTGTGGATCCATCTCTCAGACCTCTCACAGAAGGGGCCAGGTGTCTGGGGACAGGGCCACCTGTGTGCCCTGGCTCCCCCTATCAGGGTCTTATGACCCCAGCCTCACAGTGGTCTCATTTGGCCTCTCGAGTTCTCTGCAATTGGCAAGGTCCCCCTTTGGGCCCAGGCCTGGAGAGTCAGCCTCACTTGGGAGCTGGGTCCTGAATTCTAGACACAGAGCCATCACCAGGAGCCGTGCTGGCTGAAGGCAAATGGCAGGGGGATTAGCAGATGTTCTGTCCTACAGTGGGTGGACAGAGCCCAGCAGGAGAGTCGGGGGGCAGGGGCACAGATGGCAGAAGCAAAGAGACCAGGAACTTCAGGCCCTTGGAGCTGATCCAGTATAGACCCTTTTTACAGATGAGAAAACAGAGGGGCAGAGAGGACAGATGAGGCCCTCTCTAGGCTCACAGTGGGTTAGTGGCCTTATAGTTCTCTTTCCACTGACCACACCAAGCAGTGAGTCCTCCCTCCTCTCGCTCACACACACACACTGGTTTGCCTGGCACATTCACACTTCAATACACACATATTGGCAAAGAGTCCTGGGCACACTCTCCTGCATCACCAGGAATGTGCTGCAGCCCTGGGCACTTGTGGGCCTGTGTGTGCTGGGGAGGGCGCTGGGATCATGGGATTCCCTCCGGATCTTGGGAATCTAGAGCCTTCATCTTAGCCAGAGGAAACCAAGAACCAGAGCCAGTGGGCAGGGCCCAGTCTGCTCACTGAGCCATTCAGCACCCTCAGTGCCATTTCTAGGTCCCCACTGCTCCCCTGAATCATTAGAAAAATTTAAACAAACATAATATAATTGCTTGTCGATGACAGAATGCCAGGGGAACCATAAAACCCGCCTGGTCTCAGCGCCTGCCCAGGCAGGTGGCACCGGGAGGCCAAGCTGGCAGCCTCAACCCTGCCTGCTGGCTGGGCCTCCTGGGCCTCTCTGTGGCTGGGAAACTGGACCCCCCCACCCCGTGCCCGCTGCCAGCCAAGCCGCACCTCACCGGCCAAGAGGGGTACCCGGTGCCAGAGCAAACTGGGCCCAGGCCCAACATACTTTCCAGAAATAGGTTCCTGCGAGAGCCTGAGGCTCACCTCTCCCTCCGCAGACCTTCTCCCCTGCAGAGTCCTGTCTGTTGCCTCAGACCCTGGAAATGCTCTGTTCACAGCCCCTAAACGCCTCTGGAATGTTCACTGGGCCAGGCTGGGGTTCTAGTTCATAGCTCCCCCACATCTGTCCTGCCTCCTGCTCTTGCTGCCAGTCCCCAGGGTGGAGTGGTGCCCGCTGGTCCTGGATGGGGCCTGGGACTCAGGCAGAAAAGTCACTTTTCACAGTCCTTCAGGCCCGTCCTCCTGCAGAGCCAACGCCTGCTCCCCCGTAAGACCGAAAGACACGGCTGCTGGGGGAAGGTTCCTGGGCCTTTGCTCGAAGGGCAGGCATCCTCATTCATAATGCCCTGCCCTCCACCTCATCAGTGTCAGCACAGGGTCACCAAGGTATCCCTGAGCAGCAATGGCACCTCCAGGTGGATGAGAGGGTGGTTGGGGAGGCACAGGGGTGGAGGGAGGGGGTGGGGACGAGGGTAAGTAGGTGAGGGATGAGTGGTGGGTGGCTAGATGAATGGGGTCGGGGCAGTGGGTGGGTGAGTGGGACCTGATTTGTTTTGGTCTCTGTCTTTCCATTAAAGGCTTCTTTTAAGGCCTGGGAATCCTGAGCTGTCTGGTTTTTGTTTTGTTTTCCTAAAGATTTTATTTATTCATGAGAGAGGCAGAGACACAGGCAGAGGGAGAAGCAGGCTCCATGCAGGGAGCCTGACGTGGGACTGGATCCCAGGACCCCGGGATCACGCCCTGAGCCAAAGGCAGACACTCAACCACTGAGCCACCCGGGCGCCCTGCTTTGTGGATTTTTATCACTTTTCCTTTCTTCACCACCCTTTCTTGGGTGAAATGAGGGGGAACCATGTGGGTTCAGCACCATCCCCCTCTCTTGCTGGTCCTTGGTGAAGTCCTGCCCTGTATACATTCTTCGAGTTGTTTGGAAGCTTCAGTGTTTATGCCTCAGTCTCTGATCTGTTTTATGTATCGGAGTTACAGACAAGGTTTTATTGAGGGGGAAAAGAGTTCTGTTCTTAAAATATGCTTATAAACCACTGACTGGGCCCAGCCCAGGGGAGCCGGGGAGGGACATGAGGGTGAACGGGGCCTGTGCCAGTCCGCATAGCACGTCTTGTGAACCCAGCACAGACGGGCCCCCTGCCCTGAGGCCCGGCACCCCTGCGGAGGATGCAGCCTGAACCAAGGTCCTAAGACCCCTAGCCCTCCGTCCCCCCATGTCTCAATTGCCACTGCAGTCCACAAACATTAATGAGGGGATTTACTTTTGGGGATGCAGTTGGGGAGCTCTCCAAGGATGGGGGTGCTGATGGGGGGCAGCTGTGGACACTGCTGGTGAGCTTCAGGCCTCCTTGCAGTCCCGGGGCCTCTGATGGTCAGCCCCCAGGACACCAAGTGGGACCTAGTGAGTTACCCTGATACCTCCGTGTCCGTTTGGCCCAGAATGAGGTTCCTGGAAGGTCAGGCTTTGAACAGAGGGAGGGATTTAGGCATCCCTTGACTTCTGGAGCGATGAAAGCTCTTTAGAACAGCTTTGAACCATCTATTTACTCTTTAAACAGCTCCGGTCCCCAGGGCAGACAGACATAAATAGATAATTGTAGCCCAGGGAGATGTATGCCTGGGGAGTTAACCGTCCCTGGGCTCCTAATTGGCCTCCCACGCCTGCCCACGGCACCTGCTGCTGCCACAGTGAGCTTTTAAAAATGCAAATCTGACCTTGCTGTTCAGCCCCTGCAACAGCTGCCCACTGGCCTTGGGACACTGCCCAGAGCTCCCCCGCCAGGCCTCTGGTGTTAGGGCCCAGCCCACCGCTCGTGGGGGCTGCGGGGGATCCCGGGTTTGCTCTGATTCTGACAGGCTGCTGCCAGACCCTCCCTGGTCTCGCTTGTCTCCAGACCTCAGCCTCTTTCCTCACCTAGCCAGTCATGTGCATCGCTCAGGCCTCGCCTTGGATGCCCCTGCCTCCAGGATGTCCTCCCTGACTACTGCCTCCCCTGACCCAAAATTAGCATTGCTGCTGCCCCATGATACTCTTTTGCACATTCTGTTCTTACAGCCCGAGCGCAGCCCTTGCCAGCCTGTACCTCTTTGCCCTTCCCCCTCCCCAGACAAGTTCTCAAAGAGAGCACATCCCCTTTACCACCTATTTTTTTTTTTTTTTTTGAGCTCCTACTTTGTGCCAGGCCCTGGGATTTGTAGGCAAATAAAATTGACAAAGACCCCACCCTCATGGCACTCGAAGGCCGAGGAGGCATCTGGTGCTGGCTCAGGGCTGGCTCGGATGCTTTGCTGAATAAATGGACAGTAGAGTGTGCTGTGCTCAGAAAAGAGGCAGCTCAGAGGTCAGGCAGGCTGCCTGGAGGAAGAGGCACTGAAGATAAAGGCTGGGCAGGGGTCTTCCAGGAAAGCTGATCCAGGAGCTCCCAGCCTGCCGGCCTGCGGAGAGGCTACTCTGGTGGCTGCTGCCCTCACCTGCTCTCACTCCATTCTCACCCTTCTCTTTCAGAATGCATGAACTGTACCCGGCTCAGCGACATGAGTGAGCGGCTAACCACGCTGGAGGCCAAGGTCAGATGGCCTGGGGCGCCCAGCCTAGGGAGCTGGCGGGTGTGTGTGAGGGTCCCGTATCAGGTACCTGCTGGCCGTGGCTGGGGAGAGAGCCCAGCCCTAGGGAGCCCAGTGGGCCCGAGTAGCCTGGTCTCGAGCTTGGGTGCTGCTGGGGTCTCAGTGGCTCTGGGTAGCCTTCTCTGGGCTGCGCCAACCTCCTGGGGTCGGGAAGGGGTGTGGGGAGAGCCAGAAATCTGGAGGTCTCAGACAGCAGGCCGGTCTGGGTGTGAGTCCCAGTGACTGGGGGGCTGGATGCCCAGAGGTTGACCCCTCAGTGGAAAGAGGAGGAGCCCCTGTACCCCCACAGCTGCTGCCCCCAACCCTGGCTCCTCCTCTTCCTCCCTGTCTGGCACACAAGGCTTGAGCACCAACAAGCCTATGGAGGAGGAGCTGCCGGGTACCTGTTAGCTTTCGCCCTGTCTACATCAGGCGGCGGCCTGGGTCACCTCAAAGGCAGAAGAACTGAATAAAGGACAAGTAATTTATTGGAGTAGCCTGGGTGGCTCAGTCGGTTCCTTCCACTAGTGTCATGATCCCGGGGTCCTGGGATCCAGGCCCACATCTGGCTCCCTCCTAGCAGAGAGCCTACTTCTCCCTCTCCTCTCTCGTGCTCTCTCTCACTGTCTCTGTCTTTCTCTTTCAAATAAATAAATGAAATCTTGAAAAAAAAAAGTAGTAAGTCCAAGAAGGGAAGGATATGCGAGGTGCAGGTGTGGTAGCAGCCAGGTCACCCTCCTGGGCGCCGGGGCTCTGTGCCATCTGACCCCTCCGAGAGACAGTGCAGAGCATGCTTGGGACAGAGCTGCCAGGGCGAGGAAGCTGGCAGTCTCTACCATCCGTCAGCAGGAGACGCTTCTGGGCTGTGCCCCCTTGTCACATCATGTCCGTTGTCTCACGTATCTGCTGAAATAGCTCCTGTGGCCAGAGAAAGCCCTGGTGGAGAGTCTCAGGTGCCTGCAGGAAGAAGCCAACGCTGTGGGGTCCGTGGGCCAGACCCTGACTGGGGACAAGCCCTATTCTCCTTTCACGTCCCAGGGAGCCTGGTGAAGGACAGGCCCGGGCCCGGGGTTTCTGTACCCTTTCATATATGAGGAGCCTCTTGGGGCATGGGACCACTGGAGTCGCCTGGCCCAGGAGGAGCGTCTGAGCGTAGGAGGCAGATGTGAGCATGGCCTGCTGGCAGGGGGGCCAGGGAGAGGACAGAGCACTGAGGTCGCCTGAGAGGCCCCCCCCACCCCAGCAAGACCACTGAGCAAGTCCAGAAGTTGAAGTCCCTGCTCAGAAAAACCCAACGGGCAGGTCTTCCCAGTAGACACATACTCATACACACACAGAGACACACATAGAGACACACACGTAAGACACATATGGACACACACCCAAACACACAGACACACACACAGGCACACACACAGACATACAGACACACACAGAGGCACACACATAAGACACATACACATGAGCACACAGGAAAACACAAACATAGACACACAGAGACATACGTACGTGCACATACACACACACATGCATATACATGTAGACACACACACACTCACAGCCCCCTCCAACCTGACATTCCCTTTGGCCCTGCCTCTTGCCTTGAAAGCCTGACCATGAGGGTATCTGCCCAGTGGGACGGGGGCTGCCGGTGACTGTCACTTGGAGTCAGAAAGAAGTGGGACTGCCACCCACCAACTAGGTGGCTCTCACCCGAGCTCCCACCTCCACCTCCTTGTCTGTGCAACGTACCTGCTGGAGTAAAGGGCAGCCGAGGCCTCGGATGATGTGGCTGTGGGACCCGGCTTGGGAAAACGATCCAGCACTGGACAGAGGAGAGGCTCTGCATTATCACCTATGCCACATTGGGGTCCCCATCTTCCCCCCTCCTGTGCTCGTGCAGAGCACACGGCACGAGAAGTTCCGGGGTATGAATGGCCTCCCAAGCCCATCTGCAGGTGGGGGGGGCCCCAGCAGCCCACACTCCTGGGCACAGGCTGGGGATGGGGGGCCCCGTCCTCTGCTTGGGGTCAGTGGCTCTGCGGGGCATGGGGGTGGAAGCCTTCAGGAAACAGACACTCCCACATGAGAAAGCTGGGGCTGGGGAAGCCCTGGGAGGGCTGGGGGGTGCTGTGGAAGATTCTGGGGCACCCGAGATTTGAAAAAAAGGAGGGGTCCCCAAGCCAGCTGTCCTGAAGGACATTTTCCAGACACCTGAGGCTCTGAGTGGTTTGGCAGTGTCAAGTGACAGCCTGCCCTGGCCCCGGCCCAGCATGTCGGGGTGTTAAAAGTCGCAGCTCTGTGGGAGGACTGGCACTGTGCTAGCTGTCCTCCGCCCACCTGGACTCCGCCCTCCTGCCTGGTGCAGCTCCTCCCTGTCCTCCCACCCTGACACCTCGCTCTGCCCGACAGCAGGCTGGGCGTGAGGCTTGCCCCTGACTCTGCGGTGAGGGGGTGAGGGTCGTGACCCCTCTGCAGACCCCGGGGGGTGGGGGTAGGGGCAGTGGGATGTGTGGGAGGAGCCCGCGATAGGGTTCCTGCCCAGGAATGGCTCTGCCTCGCCAGGTCCCCGCTCAGTTCTGGGCTTCAGTCTGCTGCCCCATGGAATGGAAACAGGAGTCACTTTGCTGCCCTTCACTGGGCTGTGTCGGGGTGGGTCTACAGGGGTGAGCTTCAGTGCAGAGGTGGGGGGGAGGTAGTCTGAGTCTGGGGTGTGCAGAGAGGTGGCTGCCACCACCCTCCTTCCAGATTCCCAGGTCAGGGATGGGTGATTCCTGTCTCAGTTGCTGTCTCTTCTCTGGATCACCTTCCAGCTGTGTACCGACCTGTTAGCATGCCTGAGTGTCCCCTGGGAGCTTCATCAGCCCAGGTCAGAGGGCCCTGAGAGGCAGTGGCCTGGAGAGGGAAGGGGACGGAATCTGGCCTAGCTGCCCAGACAGCCTCTGCTGAGGCCAGGCACGCACCTGCCAGGCTCAGAGACAGCATGGAGCAGGGCCAGTGGCTGTGGTCAGGCCAGTGAGAGCCAGGCAGGCAAACTCCAGATGGGGAGTCAGAAACCAGAGGGCTGGCAAAAGAAAGCAGTAGCTCAGAAGCCTGGAAACCGAGGCTTTTGCCCTTTCAGACAAAAGACCTGCTTTGATGTATCAGGAGGGACGTGTTCAGCTATAAGGAACAGACACCCAGCCTATTCGTTAAGGACATTTGTTGTTTGCTCAACAAGAAGTCTACCAGAAGGTGGTCTTGGAATTGTTTGGGTGGCTTAAGAACTCAGGCTCTTCACAGTCTCCGCCTCCACCTCCTTTGTGAGTTGGCTTTTGTCCTCATGGTTAGTGCCTCATGGTTATAAAGTGGCTGCTGCAGCTCAAGACATCACATCCTCATACCTGTTCAAAGGCAGGAAGGAAGTACAGGCTCTGGCAAAGCAGCCTGACAGACTCATGTGTCTGATCATCCAGCACTGGGCTATATGCCTCCTCCTCATTGCAGGCGAGCTGGGAAAGTAGGTACCGGGCCAATCATGATTCCTCCTCTGGGGCACACCCACAGGTACAGAATAAGGGGTTCGTGAGCCAGGCAGCCATCAAGGTGTGCTCCATCTTCCCTTACCCCGTGAGTGCCTGAGTTCCCAAAGGACCCAGACCTGGGAGCTGATCTGGGATTCCTGTCACCTTCTTTTCCTGGGACAGCGTAGAATGGCTGTAGGGGGATTGCAGGGTGGAAGGCCAGTAGGCAAAAGTTTCCTGATTTCCTCTTTCCCCTCTCCCTCGGTTTACACTCTGACTTCACGGACCACAGGGCCACATGGAGTGGAAGGGAGCCCGAGGGGGTTTCTCTGTGTGAGGGCCACAGAAGCCTCGACTTAGCTGGTCTCTTGTGCAGGAGGGCGGCCTCTCGGCCAGTCATCCAGGCCGCAGTGATGTCATCAAGGCCACTGGCCTCCGAGGCTGGCTGCAGTACAGTTTTCTTGTGTTGAGTCCCTACGCCCGCTGCTGCCCGCCCTGGTGAGGTCATGTCAGCGGGAGTGGGATCAGTTTCTCCAGGAAGTTGGCCATGGTCAGGCCAGGAGGGCTTGGACTCTGGCCAGAGCTGATGCTAACTTGGCTGTGGCTGGGGCTCCTCTGCCTGGGTCCGTGGGCTCTGTGGGCCTTCGAGTCTGCATGGGAGGTGCCCCACAAAGAAGTGAGCCAAGGGGGAGGGGCAAAGCTGCAGGTGTCAGGTCCCCTGGGGGTGGGTCTGGAGCCCTGCCAGGGAAGGGGAACACCTGGGCCTGATCCCAGGAGCCCATAGTGGGTGCCCCTCCCCTGAGCCCTCAAAGCTGCTCCCACCCCTCTACTGCCTGGTAAATATGTCCATCTGGAGGCCCCCCTGAGACACTGCAGTTCAACCCAGTGCCCCGTATTGATCACCTTCACCCCTAAACCTGCCCTCTTCCGTGTCCTGACTGGCTGATGGCAATCCCACCATCCTGGGAGCCAGACCAGAACCAGGGGACCCACTCCTGCCTTCACCCATTGTCCTGTCCCCAAGCCCGGGGCACCTGGCCCTGGTAGTTCGTACCCTCATCCTCACTGAGCCCACCGGCCTGAGCCCCCCATTCTGTGTCATCGACAGCCAAGTCTCCTTGCCCCGCCCCCCCACTCCTTCACTGCCCCATAGCCCCTAACCTCAGATGGACGTGGCCGGTGAACTTCCCAGTGGACATTCAGTGGTCGGGGCAGGATCATCACCCTCCCCTCCCGGAGGGGATGCCATGGTCAGGCGATAAAGTTCCACCCTCAAGCTGCTGTGTGATGGCAGCCGGCTGCTTACTTTCTGTGTGCCTCCATGAGGCTCCACCAGAGCCAAGGCTGTGGCCCAGCTGTGGGGAGGTGGCCCAGGTACCGCATGGGACCCTGGTCCCCACACCTACTTGCTGGGCTACCTTGGGCAAGTCACTTGTAGTCTCTGGGCCTCTATTTCCACCTCACCTGTGATGTAGCTGCCTCAGGGGCCCTTGTAAGGACTAGAGGGGGGAGGGGCTCAGAGAAGTAGCCTGGTAGGGGGGTCTCTAGAGCCTCAGGGGGCAGGAGTCCACCCATCCAACACAGATGGAGATCCTAAGAGCTGGTGCAGGGTGCCACTTTGTTCCCAAGGATCTTCAGGGATGGTTGGTCACCCAGGTCCAGGGACAGGGCAGGACTGGTGGGAGGGAGTGCTCAGAGGACTCCTTGGCTGCACACCCATGAGACCTCAGCCCAGCCCAGGTCTGGGTGCCGTGAAGGCAGCTCTTTGACCCTGTGACCAGCCAGCATCGCAGGAGGCACGGAGGGCACAGTGTGCTGCACGCCCTCACTCTCTCATGGATCTATAGGGTCAGTCCCATTTTGCTGATGGGAAAACTGAGGTTTTCCAGAGGTCCCAACACTCATAGAAGGATGCACACGGCCACCTAGTGGTGGCCTCCTAGTGGAAGAGCCAGGATTCAAACCAGCTCCTGTGGCAGCAGGGCCCACGCCTCCCCCATTAGGTGGCACATAACGGGCGCGGGGCTCTGGGGGACCGTGCCCGCTCCCCAGGTGGTCTCTCCTGAGGCAGGGCTGCCAGCACACGCAGGAGGGGATGGCCGTCAATCCGCAGGGTCAGACAGGTTGCCAGGAGGTGGGGAGGGGGCCCTGGAGTCTCAAGACCTTCCCGGGGCTCAGGAGCGAAGGGAGGGGCAGGGGGCGGAGAGGCCAAGGGGCACCCAGAGAGGCCTGGGGAAGGCCAAGTGCACAGGCCCGGCCCAGGCGAGTTGGGGAATCTAACAGGATGTGGGGTTCTGGCTCCCAAGAGCTGGAGGGAACCTGAGACACCAGACTTCCTCCCCGGGCAGATCAGGGTGGAAGGACTGGGGGAACGCACTGGGCGGAGCAGGAAGCCAGGCTGCGTCCGCAGGCGGGTGGGGAGGGAGGGTGGGGTCTCCCTCTCTGCCTGGGGGGGCCTACCCAGGGTCTCAGCACCTGCGCTGCCCTGCTCAGATCCCTGGTGCACAGTGCCCCCTGCTGACCTCGTTGGGGGACTGCAGGGACTCGCAGGGGCCTCTAGGGCCTGGATCCAGGTTCACCTGAATTAGGGAGACGGTGTCCCTGCCCAGGCCCTGGGTCTTCCCAGGCTTTGACCCCCCCTGCCACCTCTGTCAAGGGGAGAGGACAGGGCAGCTTTCCACGCTGGGCCAGGTGGCCACCTTTTGGTTTCCTAGAGCTTGTCCTAAAAACCACACCCCAAGCCGGGCCCACTGGTATGTTTTCAGTAACTCCTGTGGGAGGAGCCAGGGAAGAGGGGGGACCACAGATCTCCCCCCACGGTGATGGGCTCTCTAGAGAGTACGGGGAGCCTAAAGATGTCCCGATGGTGACTTGCTTGAGCCCTCCGGTCCAGGAGGGCTCTCCTGAAGTGGCAAGAGGCAGGCACCGGTATCAGAACCTTCCCGCAAGGGGAGCAGTGGTGTGTATGATCACCCACACCTGGCCCTGGGCAGCTGCAGGTCTCAGGGGGCGCGTGTCCCTGCGCACGCGTGTCTCTAGCCTGGCCAGGGGTCCTGACCCTCTGCTTTGTCCTGCTCAGGTTCTCCTGCTGGAAGCAGCAGAGCAGCCCGCAGGCCCGGGCAATGACCTGCCGGTCCCCCAGAGCACCCTGCCGCCCTGGAATGAGGACTTCCTCCCCGATGCCATCCCCCTCGCCCACCCGGGGCCCCGAAGGAGAAGGCCCACGGGCCCAGCCGGTGAGTGAGGCCTGCAGGGGAGGACTCCAGCCAGCCTCTCCGGGGACGGCCTCCCAGCACACGGCCTCCCAGGGCCTGTACCCATAGGTCACAGGGCAGGCCCTTTGGATAGAACGCCCCCCCCCCCCAACATGGTATTTTGAAAAACTGATCTAACAGCTCAAAAACTGGCGGGTTTCACACAAAAATCAGGATTTGAAGCTTCTCTTAGAAAAATAGAAGCTCTGGCCATTGGGGCTGCAGCCCCTCGTGGAAGCAGTTGGCTGTAGCCAGATCTCTGCTGGCCCCACAGACCCACCCCATCCAAACTGCTATAGGCCTCACCCTCTTACCCCGCCGCGGGGTGCATGTCCTCATGGCCTGCCCCGCTGCCTCTTAGCACCTGCCCTCAGGCCCCCAGCCTGGCCATCCCCTCCTCGCTCAGCTTTCCTGGGAGCTTACGGCCTCCCACCCCCTCCTGGGGGGATCCTCGCTGAACTCCCCGGCTAGAGTGGGGGCACAGAAGCCACCTTGCGGTCTCTTCCTTTCCTGGCAGATTCTGAAGTCGGGACTATTTTCTCTCTGCGGCTTCTATGCATTGGGCTGTGCCCTGGGCGATGGTGGCAGTGTTAGGACAGCAGTGGTTAGGGTTGCTGAATGCCGGTATCTGTGCTGTGCCGGTTAATAAATATTTTTCTATATCACCCTCAGCTGTACAGGTATCATTTCTAATATCATTCCAGTAAGTTTATAATGCTTGGGGGTTACAGAGGAGAAAACCAAGGCTCAGATAAATGACCCAGGGGTCACCCTGTGATCTGGGGGCATTTTTTCTTGATAATTCTCAGGCCCACTAGAGCCCTGGGCAGGTGATGCTCTCCCTCCCTCATCTCTCTCCCTGTTGAACCCACAGCTTCTTAACACCCCTGCCCAGACTCAGCTCTGAGCTCACACTCTGTCCTCTGCCTGGTTTCCCGTGTGTGCCTGTCTAGTTGGGAGAGGGAGCAGAGCCGGGAGGGCACAACCCCCAGCAGTGGGAACATCTGTCGCCCAGTCCTGGGAGGAGCAGATACTGTGATCTTCTGATGGGGCTGGAGGCTGTGGGAGGAGGGGTGAGCTCAAGGGAGTGGGGAGCATCTCAATCTGGGTCCCCTGGTTCACCTCCCAAGGATTCACACCCAGGCAGCTGCCCCTGCCCACTTCTTCCAAGTCCTTCTGGTACTGGAGAAAAGGGGGACTTCCTAACCTTCAGAGGACCCAGGCCCCAAACCCCCAGCCAGGGAGGCTGAGAGGGGCACTGGGTGGGTCTCCTGGGCCACTTTCTCCTCACCAGGCACAGTGCAGTTCCAAGAAATGGCCACCAGGTGGGGCACAACCCCTACAAATGGTGACACCGAGGTGAGCCCCGGAATCCCTGAGAGCCGGTGAGTTGGGCACCAGGGTGCTTCGGGGCTGCCTGGGGGTCTCTGAGGAAGCCTCATTGGGGCGCTCTTTGCCACAAGCGCAGTTCCTGACCCCCAGCGCGCAGAGACAGCAGGACTCCTGAGGGAGGGTCCCAACTCCTCTGCAGCCTGGCTCTGGGCCCTTGAGCAGGGGACCATAACTTCTTGAGCCTCAGTTTCTTCGCCTGTGAAGTGGGGACAAGTAGCTCTGGAGATTGTAGGAGTCAACAGGTACAGAAACAGTTGGTGAACTGTAATGAGGTCTCTGCTCCTACCAGATGGCCCGGGTGGGCAGGCCCGGGGTCTCCTGTGGCTGCCCGGCCCACAGTGTTCTCAGGGCTCATCTCATTCTCTCCCCAGGGCCCCCGGGGCAGACGGGACCGCCAGGGCCTGCAGGTCCACCGGGCTCCAAAGGTGACCGGGGCCAGGCGGGAGAGAAGGGCCCAGCAGGACCTCCTGGTAAGGACACCCCAGATCTGACTTTATCTACTAGGGGGAGGGGCTGAGGGTTCTCTCCTATCTGACCAGGTGAGGCATCTCATAACCCCTGATCTTGCTGGGGTGAATGATAGGCATTGTGGGGGGCTCCAGGCTTGCTTCCTCCCACCAGCACCCCCACTGCCACCCCATCCCCAAGACTTTAGGGCCTGGTCTGACCCTGGGCTGCAGGAGGAACAGAAGGCTCCGGGAGCTGGGGGGTGCAGGCGTAGGGGTGGGGCAGCTGGGGCCTGGGGGCTGTTCTCAGCTGTTTAAACACCATCTGTAGAGAGCTCCCCAATTCCCCCTGGGTCCCGCAGGGAGGTCCTGGGAAGGCAGGTGTATGGCCGGCCTGGGCTGGCTGCCACCCTCGGCGCCCCGACCAGAGCTAAGGCCCTTCTAGGGGAAGGCCTTGCCTCCCTTGCCTCACACCCAGCTGTACCCGAGTTCCCCAGGCCAGAAGGCAAAGCCATTTCACTCACATCCCAGGACAGGCCTCTGGGGAGCCTGGTCCACAGGCCACCACCAACCTGTCTCCCATCTGTGGGGTCAGCCACCAGGCCCAGCCCTCATGTGACTCCTTCTCCCACTGCAGGGCTCTTGGGGCCGCCAGGGCCCCGCGGGCTTCCTGGAGAGATGGGGCGCCCTGGCCCCCCCGGCCCCCCTGGCCCAGCAGGCAGCCCGGCCTTCCCTCCAAACAGCCCCCAGGGCGTCCTCTACTCCCTGCAGCCTCCGACGGACAAGGGCGGTGAGTGCCCCCCCAAGGGACGGACCCTGGGGAAGCAGACCCGCAGGGAGCCAGGCAGCGGCCTGGGAGCCAGGCTCCGCCAGGTGGCACAGAAGGATCCCAGGGGGGCTGATACTAGGCCCCCAACCCAGCTCTTGGTCCCAGCCTGGCCCATCCCTGCCCCGGTGCTCAGCCTCTGCTCCTGGGGTCCTGATCCCCCTCAGGTTACTCTGGTGTCTGGCCGGCCTCAGTTTCCCCACTTGGTGACAGGAGCAGGAGCACATCTCCTTGCAAATCCCCTGAACTGAGGCCACTTAAGTGTTGGTTGAGCACCTACTATGTGTCATTCATGGTTTTTGTCACTGGGGCTACATTAGTAAGCAAAACAGCCTTCTGCCTCCAGGGGCCACAGTCTGGAGTTTCTGAACCAGAAACATCCACCTGCCTGTGGGGATGGCAGGAACAGAGAGGCCCTGAGAGTGGGGTGGGGCACCAGTGTCATTCAATTAAGTGCCCTAGGAAATGGGGCAGGGAGGTTTAAGAAGCGGGTGACATCCCAAGCACTATGGGGGATGGGGACCTCTTTATCTTGGTCAGAAAAACCCCAGTCCTCTCCTGCTGCTGCTTCTGTCCCGCCAGGCGCACAGCCTTTACCACTGACCCCCCTGGGCGTCAGTTTTCCTACCTGTAGAGCAGGGGCAGCTAATACTCCCTGATGGAGTTGCTCTGGTGGGAGGGACTCATTTGTGAATAGAATGGAGGCCCTGGGCTGCCCTTGGTGGGTGCAGGGACCCAACTGGGTGAGAGCAGAGCCTTCTGGAGGCAGTGGAATGCACAGGACTCAGGGAGAGAGCAGGGCTCAGCCGCACACTCCTGGGCCACAAGGATCTGGCCCAGGGCTCCAGCCGGCCCGACTCTGGGCACACCTCAGCACTGCCTGTCGGCCACCTGCAGCACCCTGAGCCCTCCTCAGATGGGACTCTCCTTACCCCCGGCCCTGGGATCCCCAGGGGAGGGCCGGCTGTGAGCTTTGGGAAGAGTGGGGACACCCCAGGGGGGCCCACCTGTTGTGCGCCCGTGGAAGAGTGGTCCAGGCTTCTGGGTGCAGAGGGAAGGCCCAGGGTAGCCACTTCCATCCCTAGCATTTCCTGGACCTGGCTTCTCTGGGTCTGGCTCTGGGGACCCGGCAGGACAAAGTCACACTGGACCTGCCCCAGAGAGACCCAAATCTTAGGAACTGGGCTGTTAACACACCCCACCCCTACCCCAGGCTGAGTGATGGGCTCTGTAGCGGCAGCCCAGGGACCTGTAGCTCAAAGAGGTAGGCAGGGAGGGCTTCCTGGAGGAGACACCTCAGGAGTGAGCCAATTAGGTGTATCAAGAAAGGACCGGTAGAGTGAGTGTTGGGAGGAGATTTCTGGCCTGGGGCACTGGGGAGGTGGGTAGGGCAGGGCCAGTCTCTAAAGGGCCTGGAATGCTCTGGAAGGAGATTGTGCATTACAAGAAGTCCTCTGGGCTTTCCCTGCTGTTTGCTTTGGCCTCCAAGGGAGCAATAGCCTCTGATTGGCGAGACTGCTGTGAGGCCCAGTGGAGTCAGGTGTGCCCGTCCTGGCTCTGGGGGAGCTCAGGTCCAGCACCCCAGCCCTGCTGGCCCTGCCCCACCAGTCACAGGCGGCTTTACTCTGCCCACAGACGGAGACTCACAGCTGGCTTCTGCTGCTGTGGACACAGTGCTGGCCGGCGTCCCAGGGCCCCGGGGCCCCCCCGGCCCTCCAGGTAAGTGCACAGGGCAGCCACACAGCCTGGTCGGGACTGGGTACCCCCTTGGAGCTTGGCCTGGGCTGCAGAGCCTCATGGGGCCAGTTAGGGGCCCATAGCCCTGGCAGGGAACTGGGGATTGGGTCTGTCCCAACCCACATGTGTGGCCGGAGGTGAGTTCCCTGGCTTCTGGGTGGCAGCTCCCTTGTGGGACTGGACACAGGAACTGCAAATGTTTCTGCTCAGGGCTGCCCCCCTGTGGGCCCAGGGTACATGGAAGGGGGGAGGCAGGGGGTCAGCACAGGGGTGGCTCTAGGGGCTGGTAGGCCAGGTGCCTATGAGAGGCAGGAAATCCTGGGCCTTTCGGCAGAAACCAGGGGCACTAGGGCAGGGGATGGCCCTGGGGCCCCTGGGGGCTGGATCTTGGGCCTGGCCTGACCTCTACTCTCCAGGGACCTTCACTGGAGGGGAGGGAAGGAGAGTGTGGGCCCCTGGCCTGCTCATCAGTTGTGTGGGTGCCTTGTCTCCCCTCATTCATATTTCACGCATTCACTGAGCACTCCCTACATGGGGCCAGGGTCTAGTTTCTGGGCTCCTCTTAAAAGGTGGCATTTGAGTGAATACCCCAGGGAGGGGAGGGAAGGTGCTGGGGTATCTGAGGGAGGCGGTACTTGCTCTGACTGGAGGAAGGGTGCTAGCCTGACCCTATGAGCGCTCCCTGGCCTACAGAGACAGACCTGTAAATCCACCTTGGCCGCGGGTGGTGGCAGGTCCCTGTCAGGGACTGGCCTAGAGAAGAGGTCCGGGTAGGTGCTAGAAGGCTTCCTGGAGGAGGTGATGCTCAGCCTGAGACTAGAGGAAAGACCAGTAGGAAAGAATTTGTTGGGCTTTGGAGGGAATGGAGAAGCTCCAGGAGGAAGAAATAACATCTGCAAAGACGCAGAAAGAAAGGAGCTTTCCAGAAGAGTATTGAGGTGTGAGGTAGAGGGGGCTGGGCTAAGGACTTCAGGAGCCCCAGGAGGGACCTAACTGAAAGGTGGCTCTGGGAGGCCATGTGGAGAGTGGATGGTCAGGACGCTGATATAGTAACTAGGCAAGAAGGGTGGCATTGGAGGGGAAGATCCTGGGTCCCCAGGAGGGGCAGACCTAAGAAAGATTTGCTGGGAGACTTGCCAGCTGGGGTGGAGGTGCGGGGTGGTCTCATAGATGAGGCCCTGAGGGAAGAGCAGGTTGTGGTATAGGGTGGGCAGGGGACTGGCCCCAGGTGACCATTTGTGACTCTGCCGACAGGTCCCCCTGGGCCACATGGTCCCCCAGGACCCCCAGGTGTACCCGGATCTCAGGTAAGGACTTCCCCACTTCTGACAGGGGAGAGGGCATTGTCTTCCCAGGAAAGAAGAGCAAGGCTGCTTCCCAGCATGATTTGCTTAGGAAGGGGCAGCCCAGCTGGCCCATCTGCAGCTCAGCTCAGGCGGGACCCAGGGAAGGACCTGGGGAAGGTGGGTGTGACCCTGGTGTCATCAGCAGCTTCTGCTCTTTGTTGCCCACTCCCCATGCCAGGGAGGTGTTGGCACCATTCCCATCTCAGGAGATGAGCTAGCTGGGACCAGGAGAGGCCAGGTGCCTCCTGAGGACAGACAGATCACAGAACGTCCACCCCAGCTTGTCACCGTCCTCCCCAAGAGTCAACTGTGTGGGAGAGGGCACCCCAAGGCCTGGTGAGGTGGCCCCAAGCCCTGGCTTGCTCTGCCTCTCCAGCTGTGTGACCTTGGGTGCAGAGGCAGCCTCTCTAGGCACTGCCTGCCTTGGCTGCTGAGAGGGGTAACCTGCAGCGCTTCCCTTGTGGTTGTTAGGAGGGCCCAAAGGAGAAAAAAAGTGCTACAGAAGCCCAGGGCCTGGGAAAAAAATCACACCAAGGAGGGGCCACCTAGACGCAGAAAGGGTGCGTGTCCTGCTTCTGGAGCTCCCTGCCGCCCCCACCCTCAGGCCTGCCCACCTACTGCCCCGAGGTCCCTGATATCAGGCTGTGCTGGGGTGGCAGGGGGTGGCCCCCATGCTGCCAGGGGTGGGAGTCTGGGCCTTGGCTCTGGGAGTCCACATACCCCTTCACCCCTTTAGACAATTGGTGAATGTCCCCCAGACACCCAGGGCACCAGCACCCCAGCTAAGGGTTACGGCCAGGCCTGGGGGCCTTGGAGAGTTGATGTTCTAGATATCCAAGAACCTGTGTCCCATGACCCTGACCTGCTGCCTGTTATCCCCCATGTTTCTTCTACCCGGGAGGACGCAGCCTGGAGGGGCGGGTGGGCGCACCGGCCGTGGGGTGGCAGGAGCCCTGGCCCGGGGCCCGGGGCACAGGGCGGCCGCAGAGCAGAGCCGGCTGCGGGCGGGGCCTGGGGGGCTGCAGAGGTGGCAGGAGGCCCCCGGGCCTGATCTGCGCAGAGTCCAGGCCCTCCAGAGCCGGGCGCCCCAGGCGGGGGTGGGGGCCTCAGAGAGGAGGCTTGTGGGGGGGCAAGAGAGAATGCCAGGGCCTGGGGCAGGAGTGCGGGGAGCAGCCCCAGGAGCTGTAGGAGGCGGTGGCGGGGGGGGGGTGCCTGGGCCGCTGCCCACCCCCCCCCCAACAACAGGCAAAGTCAGGAACCATGGGACGCGGGCTGCCCGCTTGTGCCCCTGCTCTCGGAGATACGCCGTCCTGTAACCCCAGCAGTGCTGGGAAGGGGAGGCTCAGAGGGGTTCAGTCACCTGCTCGGAGCTGCACGGCAGGGGTGGGGCCCCTCTCGGGCTTTCTTCTGCTGCCTCCAAAGCTTGCCAACACTGCGGTGGGTGCTTTGGGATAGCTTTATCCTGCCAGGCGATCTCTTATGAGGGTCTTTGGTCCCTTGTGGGGAGTACCACTAGGGTGGCTGTGCAGACCATATCCTTGTGGGGACCTAGGCTCATGAGGTTCCAAGGAGGTTCAAGGGGGCCCAGTCAGGGGCCCCTGGGTGGCTCAGTGAAGCGTCTGCCTTTGGTTCCGGTCATGATCTCAGGATCTTGGGATCAAGCCCCACATCGAGCTCCCTGCTCAGCAGGGGCCTGCTTCTCCCTCTCCCGCTCCCCTTGCTTGTGCTCTCTCTCTCTCTCTCTCTCAAATAAATAAATAAATAAATAAATAAATAAATAAATAAAATCTTTAAAGCAAAAACAAAAAACAAAGAGACCCCATCAGAGCTGTTCCTCCAGTGCCCCTTAAGAGGGCGTGAGCAGGCATCCTCATGGAGGGTGTGGCGTCCTCGGGCTGCTGGCATCTTGACCCCTTCCCGCTTTGCTGTGGTCTTTCTGTGAGGCTGAGGGCCTTTGGGGAGGGCTAGGAGGCTTGAGGGCACAAGGCAGTGCCTAGCTCATCTCTGGCTCCCCAGGCTCCAGTCCCTTTCCAGGCTCCAGTGCCAGGGCCTGCCTAGGCCCCCGCACTGCATGCCCAAATATTGACAATGTTGGAATAGTCACCAGCCTCCTGTGCTCCCCATGGAAGAGCCAGGCCGTGGCTTCACTGTGGACAGTAGGACCAGTCTGGTGACAGCCACTGCCTGTCTCCTTCCCTCATCAAAGAGTCAAGGCCTCTGAGGATGGAGCGGAGGTGGGGGGTCTCCCAGGGCTCAAATAAGAGTGAGAAGGGACAGTGGTGGGGAACCAGGTGGCCCCTACTTTCTCCTCTGAGCAGGACAGACTTGCGCTTGAAGCCCAGCTCTCTTACTTTCCAGCTGGGTGACTGAGCAAGTCATTGAACCCTGGGTCTGTTTCCCACCTGTGAGATGAAGGATCGCTTTGGGTGGGCTTGTAGTAAAGGGATTAGTAGATGCGAAGTAGCAGGCCCCGAGAAGACCCTTAATAAATGTTCTTCATTAACCAGATATCTCTTGGGGCCTTATGGCATCAGACACTGTGCTGGGCACAAGGACAAGGACCCCGGGAGCCCTGCAGTAGCTGACAGAGTGGGGGAAGCAGGCAGTGAGGAGGAAGGAAGCATCGGGAAAGAAGGGAATGAGGCTGTGTGATGGAGTGAAGGGGCCAGGCAAGTGGGGTGTGACAGACGTGCAGAGGTGACACTTCCCCTGAGACCTGAGGAACCAGAAGGAGCAGCCATGCAAAGATACCAAGAAAGGCCAGTCCAGTAGCCAAAGAGCAAGTGCAAAGGCCCTGGGGCAGGGTCTGACCAGAGGGGCAGAGTGTGGGTTTCTGTTACAGGGAAAGGGGACTCTGGCTGTGGCTATGGTGGGTTTGGGCTCTGGGGAGCCTTCTGTGGGGAGCCTTCTGGCTGGACCTGGACGTGGATGAGAGTCCTTGAGTGGGACCGTCACCATTGGCGTCGCTGTCACATGTTCTCTGGAGGCCCCTCCCAGAGGGGTGGGGGCGGGGAAGGGCAGTGCGGGCTTTGCCATCTTTGTGTGACAACCTTAAGGGCCCATTTCTCAGCTGAGAATATCAAGGGCTCTGCCAAGGCTCACTGAGCAGCCAATGGAGGGTGGCCCAGGTGGGGCCCTCCCGTCTCCACCATGCCGTCCTCCTCCCGTCCTGGTGCAGGGAGGCTGAGGGGAGGACAGAGGTATTAGGGGCGCAGGCAAGCCTCATCTGTGTTGTCTGACTTTCTGCAGGGCCTGGCTGGAGAGCGGGGCATGACGGGACCGGCTGTAAGTGTGTGCGGCTGTGTTGATGGGCCATTCCCAGGGCGGTGGGCTCTGGCGCAGGCCCAGGGTCCCAGGTGGGTGGGGGTCTGTCCCAGCCTGAGCTCAGCTCCACAGCCACCCCAAATATGGCCTGATTCTACCCTGCCCAGAGAAGGGGCAGCCTGCATAGGGAAGGGGTGCCCTTGGAAACTGGGGAGCCCCTCACTGGCATTGTGAGCAGGGACTGAAGTAGCCTCCTGGTGGGGGGTTGGACGAGAGTCCTCAGGTCTCTTCCGGGGAGCCCAGACCTCTGAGTTAGCCTGCTATGTGGCCTGCAGAGCCCCTTCCCTCCTCTGAACCTTCCAGGGGTAGAGGCGCAGACAGCTGGCCTCTAATTTCCCCTTGGAAACAAGAATGTATGAGTCTCAACTCCTGCCTGCAGGGCCAAGGAGGCAGGCACCTCCTTGTGCCCAAGTCTGAAGTTAGAGGTAGAGCCAGGGAGGAGGGATGGAGCTTTGCGGAGCGCTGGACACGGGGGAGGCACTCTTCATCCATAGTGAGTTTAAGCTTTGTTATGACCTAGCAAAGCAGGACTTTACTGTTCCCGTTTTTCAGAACTGGCAGCTAAGGCTCAGAGAGGTTAAGTAACTTGCCCAAGGTCACACAGCTAGGCAAAGATGGAGCCAAGATTTCAACCCAGGAGCATTAACCTCCAGAGCCATGCCTCCTCCTGGCTTCTGTCTGGTAACGATGGTGAGCCCCGTCACGGAACTTCTGGCACCAGGCTCCAGTCAAAGCTCATAAATACTGATTTATTTCATCCGAATACTCCTGTGAAGTAGGCAGTATTAGTACCCCATTTTAGAGACAGGAGCACTGTGGTGCAGAGAGGTCAAGTAACTTGCTCAAGGTCACACAGGATTCCACGTGGGTGTTCTAGTGAGGCTGGTACTACTGGCGGTGTTTTAGAGGTGGAAGCAGAGAGAAGCAAGGACTTGATCCCTGGCAGAGCTCAGTGCTGAGCTTGTGGGGTTTCAAACCTGGCTCCTCCGCACCCCAGAAGCACAGTAAAGCCCATAAAGCCAACCCATGCTGGGCGCGCAGGGGTGCCTGGGGCCTTCGGTGCTCCTCTGCTCTGCTCACCCCAGGACAGGAGTTCCCACAGGCCCAGCTGTCAGGGTCTGGGACCCAGCACCCCTGTCCTTCAGCTCTGCCTCCCCAACCCGCCCTGACTCCCTGCCAGCCCCCACAGTCTGCCTGAGAAGACATTGTTGACTGCATGTTTTTTTTCCTAGGGTGATCCTGGCGGGAAGGGGCAAGAGGAGGATAAAGCTGCTGCCGAGGTAACTGGTCCTGGGGGCCATGCTTCCCACCTGCCCCCTCGGCTGCATCCTGGCAGGAGGGCGGGTGCCCAGCACATCTGTATCAACACCTAGGGCACTGGGTGAATGGGTCCCTGCCCGGGGAGGCCAGTGGGTGAAGTAATGTTTGCAGCATAGCCGCAGATGGGGGACTGGCCTGGGGGCAGAGGACAGGGAGGACCCTGCCGGAGAGAAGCTTCAGGCTGCAGGCTGCGGAGTCCCTCTCCAGGGACAGGAAACCCCCTGGGGCATGGAGTTGGTGGCCTAGAGGATCGGTGGGCAGGTAGACAGATGGCTGGTGGATGTGGAGAAGACGGTGGGGGAGTAAGGATGGGAGCAGGGGGCGGCCAGGGCTAGATGGGGTGGGGAGGGGACGCAGATGGAGCACGGGCATGACTCTGGGGACCCATTGTCTTCTAGGAGGAGGAGGGACGCCTGAAGACTGGGGTGATGGATAGAGGGGATGAAGGCAATGGGACCAGCAGGGGAGACCTTGCAAGCTGAGAGCAAGAATCCCCTGGGCGTGTCAGAGCTCAGGGAGCAGCCGGCACAGGGGGCATCTAGCGTTCTCTAATGAGCCAGCCTGGGGTGTCTGGGGAGGTGGGCTGGGCTGGAGGGTGGAGGCTGGGGGGCCAGGGGCCCTTTGGGAGGCCCTTGCGAGACTGGAGACAGGAGGAGAGGCTGGAGCCAGAGCAGCTGCAGTGGGTACAGGAGGCAGGGGGGAGGAAGATATGGGTGCCAAGGCATGGGCATAGATCCATAGGTCACTTGCAGGGGCGGGGTATGGAGACGTGCGGTACTTACGACTTCATTAGCTCTTCGCATGCATTCCATGAGAGTGCATCCCCATGGCTCAGGGGCATGGGACTTAACTGGGGACCTGGACCTTCTGCTCCTCACTGGGACACCCCCATCCTAGACACGCCCACAGTATGGCTTTTGATGGCCTTTGGATCCCTGGAGGGAAGACCTCTCTCCTTAACCTATAGGATACTTTTTGGTTTCCTTTCGGCTTTTGGTTTTGTTTTGTTTTGTTTTGTTTTAAGCTGGCTCCATGCTAGGCTAGAACTCACGAACCTGAGATCTAGAACTCACGACCCTGAGATCTAGACCCTCACCTGAGATCAAAAGTCAGATGCTCCACCGACAGAGCCCCCCAAGCACCCCATCCTTTTGTATTGTTTTAAACTACATTGATTTGAACGTCGTGACACAGCTGTCACATTATGCCAGCCGAAGGCTGAAGTCATTCTGGGGCTGACTTCAGAGCGGGGCCTGATCCCCTCACCATCACTTTTTTTTTTTAAGATTGATTGATTGATTGATTGATTGATTGATTGATTTGGGACACACAGAGAGAGGCAGAGACACAGGCAGAGGGAGAAGCAGGCTCTGAACCTGATGCAGGGGGTTTCCTGTCCCTGGAGAGGAACCTGATGCAGGATTTGATTCTGGGACTCCAGGATCACACCCCAGGCGGAAGGCAGACACTCAGCCACTGAGCCACCCCGGCGTCCCCACCATCACATTCCTTTTCAGAGTGGCCTGGTCACCTGGCTTCTCAATAAACCAGCTCATTCATGTGTCTTGGTGCATAGGGGCTGCCCAGGTGTAGACCGGCTCCCCAGCAACGTGGACCTGTCATCGTCGTGCACGCTCGCTGATGCTCTAGAAGCAGTGGCTATTCCTTCTCTTTTTCTTGCCGGGGTGGCCACTCTTAGCAACTCTCGAGGTGGAGGCAGCAGAGGGGGGTTGGTGCAGAGCCAGCAAGGAGGTCAGCCACACTCTCCCACCCATGCTAGGTGCTCTGCCCTTGGCAGGATATCTTCTGGAAAGAAGGGCACATGGGGGAAGCAGCCAGGCAGCCACGGAAGCAGGAAAAACTGAGGCATGAGGGGGACAGGTCTGAGTGTGAAGCCTGGGCTGGCCGCTTCCTCTGTGGCCAGCCCTGACCCTGGCTGCTTCCTCCCCACCAGGGTGAGGGGGTGCAGCAGCTGCGGGAGGCCCTGAAGATCCTGGCAGAGAGAGTCCTCATCCTGGAGCACATGATTGGGATCCATGGTGAGCTGTGACCAGAGCCTGAGGCCAGCTGGACCCACAGCTGTCCGTAGAGTTAGGGATCGCTTCTGCCCCTGCCTCCCTACTCCCTGCCACCCTCATGGCAGCTGCCGTTGCCTCTGCTTTGCCTGCCTCGATGACACCTCCATTTGGCTGTCAGATGGTCTTCCCCAAATCCCAGTCAGACCCTGCCCTGCGCCTCCCCTTCTCAAGGACCCTCAGGGGCTCCCTACTGCCCATGACTGATGTCCAGGCACATCAAGTCCCAAGCCCCTCCCCAGCACGGCCTGGTGCCCAGTTACACGAAGCCACTACCTAGTCATCCTGTAACCTCTCCCCGCCCCACCTCTGTGCCTTTGCACAGGCCAATCCCTCTGCCAGCTGACCACCACTCCCACTTCGGGTAGGACCTTCTCTAGGGTCTCTTCCTCTGTGAAGGCGCCCTCCTGCCCCACAGTGTTCTGAAGAGCCTTCTGTTCTCTTATGGCGTGAGCTTTGCATGTCTCTCCCTGGCATGCTGGGAGGCCCTGGTGGCAGGGTGGTGACTGGCAGCCCTGCAGGGCCTGGAGCCCACCCCCAGTCAGCATTTGTTGCAGGGTGAGTGGGAGAAAGCATGAGTGAGTGGGTGCCCGTGTGCCAAGGTAGCCCGCTGCTGCCTTGCCCTGTCCTCGCTGGGCCTGTGGTCTCCCCCACGGGCTGGGCACCAGAAGCAAAGGGGCCTTTGAGGGCTCTCAAGGCCCTCCATGAGCCCACCTGCCTCCTGTCCTTCCAGATCCCTTGGCCTCCCCTGAGGGGGGCTCTGGCCAAGATGCTGCCCTGAGAGCCAACCTGAAGATGAAGCGTGGTGGCTCCACGCCCGACGGCCCCCTCGCGGCCCTGCTTGGCCCCGACTCTGGGCAGAGGAGCGCTGGTCGGGCTGGCGGCGGGCAGTAAGAGGCCAGCTCTCCAGGACAAGCCCCGGCTCTGCCAGAGACCCAACCCTGAGGCCTATGTTGGCGTGCTGGCTCCTGAAGACACCCCAAGCGGGACTGGGCTCCAGGCACCGACGATTGTGCAGGACACTGGCTCCCAGGGGGGACTTGGGGACAGATGGCAAGTCCAGAGGCAGAGTCCAGAGGGCCCTAGCACCCTTGGCGGGGCCCCTTCCTGGTCCCTGCCCTCCCCACCCTCACTTTCTGCAGGAGACAGGATCTGGGTGGGCTGGGTGGGGCGTGAGAATAATCCTAATACTCATCATTTACTGAGTCCAGGCCTGTCCGAGGAGCTTTCCCTGCATTGTCTCATTTAACCCTTAGGAGGTAGGCTTGTTATCCCCACTTTTCACGGGGGGGACGGAGGCCCGGTGAGTCTAAATCACCTGCTGAGGCCCCCTGGTTCCTTAACCCTCGACCCTGCCAGCTTCCTGTCTTCACAGGGGAGCTGAGTGGGCGCAGGGCCATGGGGAGGCTGGACTGGTCCACAGGGAAGAAAGGCAGGGTCCTGGGCCTCCTTCCTTGACCCCCTCCCCAGGGCTCAGGGTCTGCTCCAGGGTCTGGCAGTGTGTGGCCTGCAGCTGCTCTCAGAGGCCTAGGAGACCCTGAATAAACCCGTGACAGTCCCACGGACTTGGGGACAGTGAGAGAGGAGCACCGGGGTGCAGGGGCCTTCGTACTAAATGGGCATCGCCCACCAGTGCCTCCCAGGTTCAGAACCCACCCAGGCCTGCCCCTGGGCCAAGAGCAGGGAGGGTTTACTGGGAAGGCCATCTGTTGCAGCCTTGCCCTCTCTGGAAATCTATAGGGTTGGCCATTTCTGGCATCGTACAGCAAGTCCCATGTCCCCTTGACAAACTAGAGATAGGACAGCCGCCCAAGTCCCAGGCCCCGCTGGGGGAGATGCTGTGGGCCCAGGCCAGGGACCCCAGAGCAGCTTAAACTACAGGCCTCAGGGTCCCTCAGGCCACAGGTCCCCTGTGAGCCAGGCCAGCCCTGGTGCTCCTCTCTTGCTGGGCCAGGGCCTGGTCTCCACAGCAAACTCAGAGATTTTGGTGCTACCCTGGCTCATGTCTCCCCTCAGGGCAGGAGCCGTCTGTCCCCAGTGTCCATGGTGCTCTCCGGAGTGGGTGGCCTGGTCCTGCCAGGCCCTGGTGACCTCCCCCTGCTGTCCAGGCCCCGGTGCCCCGTGAGAGGCAGGACTGGCCTGGGGCCCGAGGTGTGGTGGTCAGAGGCGGGCGGGAAGTCTATAATGCTCTGACAATAAAGGTGCTCTCCCCACTGGGGGTCTGGTGTCCTGTGACGCAGGTGCTGAGGGAGGCCGGCCCCCGAAGTTCACATCTAGTGACCACGTGGCTGGATGTGGGGACAGGCACATCCTGGGTAGTGCCACACACACAGCACGGGACATGTCAACACAGCAACATAACGGAGGGGACAGCTAACCCACCAGGGGCCAGGGGAGGAGCCTTGAGGTTCAGAAGGGCTTCAGGGGTCAGCGGGAATCAGCTAGACAGGAAAGGGTGCTGCGGCAGGAGAATGGCATCGGGGAAGGCTCGGAGGGGCCGAGGAGGACAGCTCATCGGTGACCCCCGTGCACAGAGCATACACCCAGGGACGGGAGGCCGGCCAGGCAGCGGCGGGAGTGCTTTCCCCTGGAAGACTGAGCCCCCGTTTTTTCTCCAGGCTGCCCCTTTGGCTCACTGGAGCCCCCACCCCTTGACCTGAGCACTCCACTTCTGTTGGGGGAATCCTCACCCCCTGGGGCCACCACAGGACTGAACCCCATCTGACAAGTTGAGCCATCCACCCCTTCTCATTCTCCCAGCCCCATGGAGGAGATGAGACTGGAAGGGAGATGATCCACTTTGCCCAGGACCCTGAAGTGTGCTGCCCCCATGGCCGTCAGCGCAGGCTCCGTGTAGGCCTCTCCCTCTGGATGTCTCGAGGGCAGGCCACTTCCCCACTGACATCTGTATTCTTTTTTTTCCCTAAGATTTCATTCATTCATTCATGAAAGAGAGGCAGAGACATAGGCAGAGGGAGAAGCAGGTTCCCTGTGGGGAGCCCGATGTGGGACTCGACACCCAGGTGCCCCTGACGTCTGCGTTCTTAAACCAGGGGGCTGCCACTTTTGGAGGGTGAGGACTGAGCACAGGCAGGGCTAGGTGTCCACAGGGGCACCTAAGGCCCCTCGGGGCAGGACAGTGGCGAGCAGGGAGGTGCGAGTTCCAAGGACCAGGGCCTGGCTCTCCCTGGATCATCATGTTCTAGTGCTGAGCCCTGAGAGGTCAGGATTCTGAAGTCAGCCTGGCCTTCCCAGTCCTTGTAAAGGATGTTCGTCAAAGTCGGGCATAGAGCATATTTTGTATCAGCTGGTTGACTCAACACGTAACTTTTCAGTATGTAGATACCTGGGATGCCTTCATTGGTACCCTGGCCCTGGATTGCACAACTGTCTGGGGCCAGCCTTGGGGGGCTAGCAGAGTCTGGAGAGAGTGTCTCCAGCATGGAGGCAGGACTGGGTGCCCAGGAGCCCCCAGGCTCCCGGGTGTGGAAGGGAGTAGAGGGAACCAGCTTCCTGTGGGAGGCCCCAGACCCCAAGGGCCAGGGCTGTGGGACAGGGTCTCCCTGGGGGAAGTGGTCACAAGCTAATCCTTCATAAGGATGAGGCGAGGCACTGTGCCAAACACGCGGCATATGTCACCTCCCTTCTGTTTCAGAGCTATCTTTCCCATTTTGTGGAGGGTCTGGTAAGTCCCAGAGAAGTTGAGTGACTTGCTCAAGGTCGCACAGCCAGTGGTGGTGAAGCCGGGCTTCCGAACAGGTGGGAGACTGGAGGCCGTGCCCCTGGCTGCTGTGCTTCTGGAAGGCAGAGTGGGGTGCACATAAACCAGGAGACAGAAACAGCACTGCCAGGAGGGGCAAGTGTGAGCAAAGGCTGGTGCTGGAGGAGGAGCAGAACCGATTTGGGGCGCGGGGGGGGGGGTGGGCAGCAGAGTGAAGGAACCCTCACAGGGGAACTGAAGCAGCTGCCAGGTGCCAGATCTTGGAGGATCTCGAATGCTGGAGGGGGAGGAAGCTGACCTCTAGGGGACCGGCTCCCCAGCAGGCTCTCATAGCCAGTCTGGCCCCTTCCCTCCTTCTGGCCTGTAGAGCGTCTTACTGAGATGCAAGCCAGCCTGCGCTGCCCCCTGCTCAGAAATCAGCTGTGGCTGCCCTGGTGCCGGCCCTGAGCCAAGGCTCCGCAAATGGGCCAGTCACCAGGGTCCCACCCTCCGTGCTGCAGGCTGCATGTGCCTCGGCACCAGCCCAGGAACAGGGCCTGAGCCTCTCTCCTTGGCTGGCCTCGTCTCTGTCTGGCCTGTGGGTGCTGGCTGCCCAGCCACGTGGGGGCCCTTGGTGCTTGCAGGATGAGGGGGAGAGCAGGTCGGAGGGGGTGTGGTCTTGCACTTCCAGCCCTGGGGGACACCGGCTCCTGGCTTTGGACAAAATCCTCAGAGCATCACCTCCTCTGACCTCTGCAGTCCAACGGGACCAGTTGGGCCTCTCTGGTCCTCTCTTCTGTCTCAGAATGGAGAAGCAAGCCACCCAGAGCCCCCAGCCAGGATGCTGTTACTGGGCCTCCAGGACCTGCGACCGCCCCCTCTTCCCCCACCCTGGGGGAGGGGCTTGTGAGCATCTGCCCAGTGCAGGAGGAGAGGGAGGGAAAGGAGCTCCCACCCCTGCCGGCCACCCAGGGGGTTAATGAGGGAGAATTAGCACTGGCCCACGCCCTCACCTCACCTCACCTCACCTCACCCCAAACCCCAGGCTCCCTATGTCTGCTCTTGCTCTCTGCCCTCCAGGCACTGCTTGCTGCATGCACGTCTCTCAGCGTCTAGATCAAACCCGACGTTTCTTCTCAAACACTGACAGGTTCCAGCCCCTGGTATGTGTGTGTATGCATGAGTGTGTGCACACATACAAATGTACTCAGGGACACACACGTGTGCATGTGTTTGTGAGCATGTATATGTTCTAGTGGGTATATAGATTTTGGGGGGTAGCACAGGGGACAACAGCATCTTACTAACACCTTCCCTTCCAGGCCTCCTCCCCTTGGGTCCTGAATAGCCATGGTCCCTCTTGTCCTGGGGGACCTGGCCTGGGACCGCCCTGTCTGGCTTGTGGGATCCTTGGCCCAGCTGGGCAGGAGCAAGGCAACTGAAAAGGTGCACGCTGAGGCAGCCCCCTCACTCAGGTCTCCTCTCTTTGGGGGGGTGTCCCCCAATGGCCTCCTGGGCAAGACAGGTGTGGGGCCCACAGCCAGGGACCCCTGCTTGCTCTACCCTCAGTCGGCCACCTGCCAGAGCAGAAATTTAGGACCCCCTTGGTCAGTGGGTAACTTCTGGCAAGTGCCCCAACATGGTGAGGGTCTTGGGCTGGTCAGCCAAAGCTACTGGTAAACACCCCTGCGCTGACCCCCGGGCCCCCCATCATCCTGGCCCTCTTGTAGACCCCTTGGAATCCAGGACCCCGATCCAGCACGAAGAGCCAGATCTGGTTGTTAAGTATCGTTGCTATGTGGTTGTAAAATATTTTTAATGTGCCTCTTGACACAAGCAGCGAGAAGCCACTGGCACAGCTGGGGGTAAGGGAGTGTGCTTTGCCTCTGCCTGGGGACACATGACGGTCTCAGGCAGAAATTCGCAGCTGCCATGAAGCCTTGAGATGTGGGAGCTCCCACAGGAGGGGCTGGATGGCCTTGGTCAAAATCTTGGAAGTAGGTCAGAAACCTAATTCCGTCCAGGCTGGGGTTCCTCCAGGGCATTCCAATAGGACCCCACATTCCCTGCCGCACATGCTAGGGATTAGAACCCGAGACAACATGGTACAACTTGGGGATCCCTGGGTGGCTCAGCAGTTTAGTGCCTGCCTTCGGCCCAGGGCGTGATCCTAGAGCCCCGGGATCGAGTCCCATATCGGGCTCCCTGCATGGAGCCTGCTTCTCCCTCTGCCTGTGTCTCTGCCTCTCTCTCTCTCTCTCTCTCTCTCTCTCTCTCTCTCTCTGTCTCTCTCTCTGTGTCTCTCATGAATAAATAAATAAAATCTTAAAAAAAATAATCCTTTAAAAAAAAAGAAACATGGTACAACTTGTTTCCTGGGACTGAGAGGGAACCAGGGTGTGGCTGGAAGTCAACCAGACACTAGCTTGACCCCTGGGGGCTCTGGGGTCACCTCTGAACATCTCCCTTCCCAAGATGCACTGGGAAGCCTGCTCCTGGCCAGGCGGGAAGGGTATTTGGGGGGCACATTCTTCTCACTCTGCACTTGGCAAGTCTAAAGACCCTCAAGGGGCTATTCTCCTGCCAGATGGGCAGGAACTGCCTGACTCTGGCCCTGGGCCCCAGCCCCAGCCTTCACAGCTCTGTTGACCCCGCTAGGCTGTGACCTTCTTGTGGGCAGGGTCACATCTGCGTCCCCAGTGCCCCACTCTGATCACTGCACAGGACATTCCCAAAAGGAGACTGATCCCTTTCTCGACCCTAGGAGGCTTTAGGCACTAGGAGACCCTAGTGACTGAGGTGGTGCACAGGGTGGCAGGCAGGCATCCGACATGGGCTCAGGTCAGAGCAGAAGTCCCCTCTCACCCAATTATCCCACACCTGCAGTCCCAGCCACCCCCTGAAGTTTCTGGAACACCTCTCTCCCAGACCCGTTTTATGGATGATAAAAAAGAGAATTTCATAAGATTTTCAATTACTTGAATTCCAGGGAGATTTATTTCCAATGTTATTAATAAATTCTAATGTCACCTATAACTTTCAATTGCCAGTTAATTAACTTGCAATTGGTGCATTGTAAAAGGCAAATTAAATACTTTTTCAGGCAGTGGCTGGTAAATCTAATGAGCCGGTGTGCCCCAAAGCAGACAGCAGATCTCACATGTTCCAGCCTCGCCTCCCTCCTTGTTGATGGGAGTGTGGCATGGGCAAGTAGACAGTGGGGCTTCCGTGTCCTCATCAGGAGGATGTGGATCACAGAAGCTGCTTCCAGAACCTTCATGGTGTCTGGGATTGAAGCTGTTTTTTTTATCTGCAGGTAAATGCAACAAAGGGGGTCCCAAGTGGTAAGAGGAGTTGAAAGTTCTTGCTCTGACACTACAGGCTGGGTCGCTGTACCAGCTCCTGGGGCTGCCATAACAGATTTCCAGAAATGTTTGCTGTCCCAGTTGTGGAGGCTAGAGTCCAAAATCCGGGTGTCGGCAGGGCTGTGCTCCCAAGGCCGTCCCGGTCTCTCGGGG